GGGGAAAAGCAAAGTAGAACTGAAGAAAGCAAAGAAAAGAAACAAAGAAAGAAGAAAAGAAAGAAAGACAGAAATAAATAAATAAATAAATAAGGAAAGAATGAATGAATGAAAGAAGGAAAAAAGAAACAAAGTAAATAAGCATGTAAGAATGAATGAAAGAAGGGGAGAAAAACGAAAGAAAAAGAAAGAATTAATGAAATATGCAGTTAGAAAGAAAGAAAGATAGATAGATAGATAGATAGAAAGAAAGAAAGAGCAAAAGAAAGAAAGAAAGAATGAAAGAAAGAAAGGAAGAAAGAAAGAAAGATAGAAAGAAAGAAAGAAAGAAAAAGAAGCAAAAAAAGAACAAAAGTGGAAATCTCCAAACAAAGAAGGAAAGAAAGAAAGAAAGAAAGTACGAAAGAAAGGAAGAAAGAACGGAAGAAAGAACGGAAGAAAGGAATAAAAAAGAAAGAAGGAAAGAAACAAAGAAAGAAGAAAGAAAGAAAGCATTAAACAAAGAAAGAAACAAAGAAAGAAATAGAAACAATGAAAGAAAGAAAGGAGGAAAGAACGACACAAAGAAAGAAAGAAGTAAAATAACAAATAAATAAAGAAAGAAGTGACGAAGACAAAAAAAGGTGGAAAGAACAAATCAAAAAAGGAAGGATAGAAAGAAGTGACTAAAGAAAGAATGAAAGAAGGAAAAGTCGATGAAGGAAAGACAGGTTGCAAGAAAGATAGAAAGAGAGACTGAAACAAAGAAAGAATGAAATAAAAGAAGCAACTGAACAAACAAGGGGGAAAACGATGAAAGTAAGAAAGAAGGTTAGAAAGAGCGAAGGAAGGAAGGAAAGTAAGAAAGAAAGAAGAAAGGAAGAAAGAACGAATGAAAGAAGGAATGAAAGAAAAAAAGAAAGAAGTAAATAAGCATGTAAGAATGAATGAACGAAGGGTAGAAAAACGAAAGAAAAAGAAAGAATTAATGAAATATGGAGTTAGAAAGATACAAAGAAAGAAAGAAAGAACGAAAGGAAGAAAGAAAGGAAGGAGCAAAGAAGGAAAGAAAAGTGGAAATCACCAAACAAACAAAGAAGGAAAGAAAGAAAGAAAGGAAGAAAGAAATAAAGAAAGAAAGAAAGTGAGAAATAAAGAAAGAAAGAACGAAAGAATGGAAGAAAGAAATAAAGAAAGGAAGAAGGAAAGAAACCAAGAAAGAAGAAAGAAAGAATTAAACAAGGAAAGAAACAAAGACGGAAATAGAAACAATGAAAGGAAGAAAGGAAAAAGAACGACAATAAGAAAGAAAGAAGGAAAGTAACAAATAAATAAAGAATGAAATGACGAAGGAATAAAAGCAAGAAAGGTGGAAAGAACGAATCAAACAATGAAGGATATTAAGAATTTGAATAAAGATAGAACGAAAGAAGGAAAAATCGATGAAGGAAAAACAGGTTGAAAGAAAGATAGAAAGAAAGATAGAAAGAAAGAATGAAACAAAGAAAGAATGAAATGAAAGAAGCAACGAAACAAACAAGGGGAAAAACGATGAAAGTAAGAAGGAAAGTTGGAAAGAGCGAAAGAAAGGCAGAAAGAAAGAAAGAATGAAAGAAGGAAAGAAGGAATGAAGAAAGAAACAGCCGATGAAGGAAATAAATAAAGAAAAAAAATAGAAAAAAGCGGGGAAAAGCAAAGTAGAACTGAAGAAAGCAAAGAAAAGAAACAAAGAAAGAAGAAAAGAAAGAAAGACAGAAATAAATAAATAAATAAATAAGGAAAGAATGAATGAATGAAAGAAGGAAAAAAGAAACAAAGTAAATAAGCATGTAAGAATGAATGAAAGAAGGGGAGAAAAACGAAAGAAAAAGAAAGAATTAATGAAATATGCAGTTAGAAAGAAAGAAAGATAGATAGATAGATAGATAGAAAGAAAGAAAGAGCAAAAGAAAGAAAGAAAGAATGAAAGAAAGAAAGGAAGAAAGAAAGAAAGATAGAAAGAAAGAAAGAAAGAAAAAGAAGCAAAAAAAGAACAAAAGTGGAAATCTCCAAACAAAGAAGGAAAGAAAGAAAGAAAGAAAGTACGAAAGAAAGGAAGAAAGAACGGAAGAAAGAACGGAAGAAAGGAATAAAAAAGAAAGAAGGAAAGAAACAAAGAAAGAAGAAAGAAAGAAAGCATTAAACAAAGAAAGAAACAAAGAAAGAAATAGAAACAATGAAAGAAAGAAAGGAGGAAAGAACGACACAAAGAAAGAAAGAAGTAAAATAAC